TAAGCTACCTGGATCGGAAACTTCCTAAACTCATTACCGACAAAACTGCTATTGCTATTCAAGATGCGTCACCCTCGTAGACAGATTTAGCACCGTATACGCTCGAATTTTGGTACAGCCCCCCGCGACGCGGAGCAGGTGGTTCCCTGGAACGGGCTGCCCAAAATTCGCAGCAACCAAAAAACGCCGCAAAAATCACTTAATTCGCATCTAAAACACAATCTCATAAATTTCCACACATACACAGGGCCGACTGTCTACTCCCTGCAAAAACACGAAGACACAAAACTCGAGGGGTCTATTACCCATCCGAGTTCTATTGTTACGCGCGCGTGTCAATTGTACAGTGCACCGGCCAGCGCTGTCCTCTTGGCATTGTTGTCGCCTTTATGACCCTCAAATCTAAAAGTAGGTTGAGGGCACTACATGGGGTCTAGCGCTGCCCCGTGTCAAAATACATACATACATACATACACTTACAAGTGACCCATTTATGCAAGGACTCATCTTACAGCTAGAGGAGGCAAAGGCCCATCGATATCAGCACCATATTGATGAGATACGTAAGTTCCTAACGTGGACAAGGGGGTCCAACGAGCTCAACAGAAGCAGAATAGACCTTCTGACTAGTGTCCACAACGGTGTTGTCAGCTATTCAAAAGACGAAATAACCCGCTTTATGGACTTCACTTGGAATAAACATCTCCTACTGAACCCTAGAATAAATCCGGGTGAGATACTGGATAACATCGATGAGAGGAGCAAAAAGTTGTTTCCTCGCTACTCAAGCAGGAGCACAGACACTAAAGTAATGTCTCTCTTGCATGGCCATGACATCACCTTCACAGCGTTCAAGGCAAGGGTTGCCAACAACTGCGACCCTCAGTGTCCGAATTGTCAGATGTTGGACAACAATTACCATCGAATCTTCTCTTGTCCACTGTACCGCTGTTCCTACAGAGAAACCATTCAAGAGCACTCCACTAGTGACCAACCATGCTGGTCTATCTTAAGAGATGGTAGTGATGGCAGCATCACTGCCTTCCGATCTTTAGCACAGATCGCCATCGATGAACTATCATAGAATTGATACTTATACTTATTAGTGCTCCTTCACCTCCATCCCCCTTCATGTCCTACATCTCCTTATGACATCACTCCCCCTTCAGCCTCTACTACTCCTTTACTACTCCATCTACTGCCTCATCTTCTGGACATCATTATCTTCTAGTTAAGTTGAGAATTCTCAACACCCACTTCCAAGTCGAGTACTCTCGACCCACTTAGTCCACATACCTTGCAAACTTACAGCAGGGTATTTGTAATGGTCTAAGTCCCTAATACACGCCAAAGATGGTTCCTCTATACTCAACCGTAGGAGAAGAGAATTAGGTGACTGTATTTTGTTCTAATGTTGATATTAATATAAGTATGTTCTAGTTGTTACTCCTTTTGTTTTAACGTTTTTATGGTACTCTCCTTAAATTATTTCAATGCAGTCACTCAGATGATTTTTAAATCAGGACACTTAAATAAAGACACATACTCTGCCCACAATAAGGGGCCATAATTTTTAAATTATGTAACAGTATAGAATTATTATTATTATTATAGAGATTTTACCGGCATATCCTCTAAAATCACCTAATTTGTTCAATTTTAGGGAGTGGCGCCAAAAGGGGAGGGGGCGCCAACAGGGGGGCGCGTTTCCGGCAGGGGGGGCACCAACAGGCAACGTTGCGCCACTGGCACCTGTATGGTTGTCCACACTCCCCCTAAAATTATATGGCTATGTCCTCAAGAAACAGAAGTTATTTGATCCTCTATCACTCAGATATAACTTAACTTTGTCGACTGAGAACAGAAGTCTTATATGTGTCTGTGGTAAACCAATCAATATCAACCATACCTTAACTTGCAAAAGTGGAGGTTGTGTTTTGATTAAACACAACTCACTCAGTTGCAGTTGCAGAACTCTCAAGCACTGTGTGAAAATATGTAAAAACAGAGCTGCAGTTACTCTGTGTACCACCAATACAACACTTCAGTTACCAAAGTTAATATGAGACATTTCTGGTCTCTGTTAGACAGGGGACAGATTACCTAGCACACAAAAACAACAACAAAAAAACTTAGAAAAATAAAGCGTGAATACAATCAAAGAGTACTCAATATTGAAAAAGCAATCTTCATCCAACTAGTTTTCAGTATAATGCAGGCCATAAAAATAACCATTTTCTGCGGCAGGTTCTAGACAATTTGGGTAAGTTTCTAAAAACTTATATATTTTTATTTTAAAATTGTATATAATGCATGCTGCATATATCTAATTTATTATAAATAATTGTATTTCCTGTAAAATAAGAAATTCAGTTTGCAGTAAAAAATTTTAAAAGAAAAATATAAATTAGCATGTTTTAGTTTATGTTTTTGTTTTCATTTCTACACGTTTCAGCAGTTACTCTTATGATCATAGTTCCAAAGTTATATATATGCTCACTTGTTAACTATATTGGTTCTTTCTGGCAAGCTTTAACTTAATTGACGATATCAATTCTTCACAGCTCGGCGAGGCCCAGTAGCGCATTTCGCCGATCTAGCGAGAAGTATAATTGAGTGCGCGGCGCAGCCCAGTAACGCATTGCGCTACATGACAAGCTTTATTAACGTATTCGTAATCTTTGACATCAAATTTAAAATCTGCAAAAGTTCGTCATTTTAGAAACAAAAATTATTGATTTTCCTTAAATTTCGATTTTAAACATTTGATTGTATACAATAAAATAATTTTCGAATACATTCTATTTTAAAATTTATATTAATCAAAAATAATTTAATTTTGATTTGAACGAAGTTTAAATTTTATCCGCGCCGCGCATATTTCCCTGATTTACACCGTAACGTTAAAATCGAGCGCTATAATATAATCGTGACAGAATGCTTTATTAGAACATCTTTTAACTGCTTTTAAGTGCTATCTTGCACGTAACGGCGTTGCATATACTTCCCCCAACGTCCATCCTTTTTTAATCGATAAGATGATGGGTCAAGCAGCGTTATTTTAGTTATTGACTGCATGACATGTTACTTGGCAATCAAGTAAAAGCACGTTTTTACCATGTCATCCTCCAACAAAATCATTCTTCCGGACGAATTGTCATTGTTGATTACTTCTCCATCCTTTTGCCATCCTTTTTTAATCGATAAGATGATGGGTCGGACAGCGTTATTTTTTGTTTGAGCTAACTTCTTATGTTGTTTCATCACAATCACATACCTCGATTGATTAAATGACCTTTTTTGGGTGACAGGACCTTTATAGTTCCCGCTACACATTTCCTCGTTTTGTGGGTTTTATGTAAACCCTGAGATAGTCAAAATTGCTTATGGAATATGTTAGGTTGCACAAATGAAAAAGAACTTTTAAATTTCTTGTCTGACATTTCCCCGAACTGGCCACTAAGGTTTTAGGTTGTGAACATTTTAAGTATTGTTGAGCGGAAATTTGATAATATGTCTATGTACCGTTTGGGTGCGGTTGGGGCACCAACTAAGTCTCAGTTTGGTCACAGTTTGGAACATTCTTTGATGTCTGTGTTACCCACTTTAACTCACCCACATATGACAAAAAAGATATGGAACAGATCTAGAAAGCTCATGAAATGAGGAAAATGAAAATGTACAACAACAGAATCATCCAGGTGGAAAAAGGCACCTTTACCCCACTTATATACTCAACAAATGGCGGATGGGGTCCACAAGCCACAAGATACCACAAGAGACTCGCTGAAAAACTATCCCAGAAGAGAGGAGAAGACTATGTGGCTATTATGTGTTACATGCGCACCAGGATTAGATTCTCAATCCTCAGGAGCACCCTGATAGCGGTCAGGGGTGAGAGAGGGAGACGGCAATCGTATACATTGCCAGTCAGTGTAACTTCGTTTAACTTGATACCTGCCACCATGGACTATGAATGTTTCTAGACACTATCCTTTTGATATTGAGATATTGGTATCTCAGATCACGTGTACATCGTTCCTTTTTTATGACACAGTAATTTATTGACACTCACAGCTTTAATTTTAATCATTGAATCAGTATTTTTATCTGTGCTCTGCGTAATGCATCACATGAATCAGTTTTTAATCTATTAACTTATTACACATTTGTGCTCTGCTTTAGCATCACTTGACTATTTTAAAAAATTGTTTGTTCAGGCCATGACCTTATAGTCAGCCAATTGGCCATTGCTGAAATTGAATGTAATTTATTCATTCTTTTTGTTGTTAGGTCACATGTCTGATGATGTGATGTCATAAATTTTAATTTACTTTACTTCACTTTACTGTCCTGGCCAAAGGCACAGTTCGGACAGAATTAGTTTGTACACATTTCAGGCACATTTTAATGTACAGTTGGTACATGGTTGGGTAGTTGGCAGAGTCGGGGTACTAATCAAGTATCAGTTGGGGCACAGTTCATGCAAATGAGAATAGTTAGGGTAGACTCCTTAACATTAAAGCAGAGCAAGTTAATCTACTCCAGGATTTGTAAAATAGTTATCTATTAATATATGGTTGATTACTAGCATAATCGTAAAAGGATAATGACTTTTTATTCTGTACAGCATCTGCACGCAAAAAGCCTCTTTATATCATTGTGCAGTAAAACCCTGATTTACTGCACCCAGATTTACTGCACCCTGATTTACCATAAACTCAGATTTACCATGGTTATTTCATTCTAGCAAATGAGGCTCAACATTCATATTTACTTATTGTGTACAACTTGGTTCTATTCATTTACCTAAATATTCATAGGGATGATAAATAATATTCTTTATTTCAGTATTCACAATTCAAATTTTTATTATAATACACTGAGATTAGGTTTAAAAGTCATTAATATTTCTTAATAATATTGAATCTGCATTCTACATTGTAAGTTAACTTGTATACGACTCAAGCTTAGCAAGCTATACATCAGCCATTAACCAACTACTCTCTTTCTATCCAATAGAATCTTCATCACAGATTATCAATCTTATACAAAAAGTATTAAAATATTTCCTCTAAAAGTGATTTAATTGAGTTTGTGTAGAGTTATTCAAAACATTGTCTCTTTCATTAGTATTCTTGACATTATTCTCCCAACTTATTCCATCTCATCATCTTCATCACAATAACCAGTTTGTACTTCATAGACAAAACCGTAGAGGTCAGAGCAACCATCAGCGATGCAAGTTCGGAATCTGTATTTCTTTCCAGCATTGTCACAGGAACTGAAAATAAAATTTATACTGAAATCTGACTGAAGCTATAAAACTTAAATTTGAAAACTTGTAATGGCTTGTTAAAGGCTCAGCTAATTTTACTTTTTGAAAAATAAAAAATATAATAATACCTCCACTGAGACCAGGGAGCAAAGTCACGTTCTTTTGTGGACTCTTCGACCACAAAGTTGAATGTCAATCCAGTTTCATAGTATTGCAGCTCAGCAACACAACGGTAAGCACCTGATGGTTGTTAATCGTTATCGTTTGGTAAGTTCTAAAGTTATTGACTGTACATGTGACTTGGCAATCAAGTAGTTCTTACAAAAATAAGCAAACTTAGTTTAATACTGAAAATTCTTGCCTGAATGTTCCTCAGAGTTAAGGTCATCAAATTCCAACGTTTTTACCATGTCATCCTCCAACAAAATCATTTTTCCGGACGAATCAGTTTCATTGTTGATTACTTCTCCATCCTTTTCCCAGCGGTAGCTACAGAAGGTTACAAAAATATCAATAATTTTAATGATGCTAAGTTTTGTCCTTACCATTCTGCCAAGGCCAAAAGTTCAGTAAGGAATAAGTAATTGTGTTCAGAATTCAAATTTACTAGCTAATATTTGACTTACTCACCTTCTGCCAAATTGACCTTAGGTAGAAAAAACCTGTTAAATAATTCGCTAAATGGAAGCGAGGCCAGGACCATGATATTCTGATGAAAATTCCTCAATGCCTTACCTTAGAACATTGGTAAGAGAACTGAGATCGCAAATAAGAGACTGTGTGTAGCGGTCTTCGTTCACAGTAACATTCCTTATTTGATCTGCAGGTCCCGTGAGGTCTTTTACCTGGTGTATTAAATTGTAATTAATTAATTAATAAATTAATTAATTGATTAATTAATTAGTGCATTTAATTGTACTCACTAAAAATTAATGTCTTTAACACATCAGCATCTAGTTTACAAATATATAACATTGTTTGAGTCTTGAACCTATTTTGAATCAAACTAAACTAAAAAACTAATTATGATGAAGTAGAATAATAGAACGAAGGATGAGCTTTAAAGAATAGTTAAAACTTTAAAAAAACTTAAAACCTACCAAAACATTGAACTTCATAGAAAAGATTTGTTTGTCCGGGTATTTGTAGTTGCACTTGTAGGCACCAGCAGCCTCGAGATCCAAGTTAGACAGAGCCAACCAATCTCTACCCTCTTCGTCGGTGTAGGCTCGGTAGTTAGCATTGGTCCCACTGTGTACAACATCACCCTCCTGCAGGAACATTGGAATGCTGGTTATTCGATTAAAATTACTATTTGAATTAGGGTTAAAAGTTTCTGTAGAATAATCCGACGAATAATTTGAAATGAGGTTAGAGGAGTTGTTATGAAATATTCAATATTTTGCGAGATTTTGAGACATAATTTCAAGATGAACTTACCGCGATCTTCTCGCCGTTATAAGTCCAGAAAAGCTTCAAGCCATATCGTTCCTTAGCTTGATGGTAGCTGAAAATATAATATGTCTCAGTTACTCAGTGACTGGTAGCTTTATTATTTCCAAAGAATTGATTTTTGCCATCAGGTTTTTCTTGGTTTCAATTTTCGTGGGATTTTAGAATTAGGAATAATAAATGTTCTCTTACTTGCAGTTGAGGTTTCCAGTTCCTCCCTCTGTCATTCTCACGTCCCTTGGTTCAGGCATTTCAGGGAGTCGTGCCTTGTCAACACTCACTACAAACTTTCCGTCCTGATAAATAATTTAAATTCGTCATGTGAGCCTATGAAATAATTAATAATTAGCTGTCGAATTCTTTACTCTCTAAAATTACATTCGCGTTCTAAACGGGGGAGGGGGGGAGGGGGGGGGCCGGGGGTCTACTTACACCGAGTAGTTGGTCAGTTCTCATTTTGGGGGAGCAGATGTAAGAGCCCTTGTCTTTCTTCTGGATATTCTTTATCAGAAGATTGTGAGTGTTTCCTTCGCTGCTGTATTGGTATCTCTTTCTGAAGTGTCATGCGTCAGTAAAACAAACTATTGTCAGTATTTGTTTGCAACCGTCAGTTTTATATAGTGAGCTACCGTCAGTTTATGTAAGTTTGAGAGGTACTCACCCTTCACGAAGACGTCGCCCTTTGAAAGTCCATTTTACCACTTGGATGTCTTCTGGGTTTTCTAGATCGTTCCATGTGCACTCAAGACTGGCATCAGTACCTGCGACAATGATATATTTTCATAAGTCTGATCTCAGATTAGTGTCACCCAAACAAACGTGCCCATTTTCTGTACAGATTAAAGATTGGAAATTATTTAACCCTGAAACTTACCGATGGCGAAGAACTTTGACTGAGTTTGTGCCTCTGAGGGCAGGATCAGAAGAGCAGTAAGCACTGCTAAGGTGAGCAAACAAAACTTCTCCATGTCGCAAAACAAAGTATGGGTGCAGAAAGAATAACGAGATTTGTAGAGGACGCAAGGTCCTTGCCTTAGTCACCCGTATTTGATTACCGCTTTGATAATCGCATTTCTTGCAAACGGTCTTCTGTTCACGATTAGGTTCTAATTAGACAAATCCTTTGTCTCAGGCTTTTATCACACTATATTTGCGTTTTCACCAGTCTTCTGATAATACTCTCTAGTGTTACCTTTCATCACGGCAAGCGAGCAGTCCCTTTCCAGATGATGAAATATTTTAATCTTGTTTAGCAATCAGGACTTCAGGAATTCCTCTGCGATTCCTGGAATGATAAGATTAAGCGTTATTTTCCTGCAAATAATGAATGTTTCCGTACCTGACTTCAGACTTACCTGCCACGTATCTGACTTTCATTCTTCTCTTTACCTGACTTACCTCCTTTTTACAATTATAATAACAATAAAACCGTATTAAACTCAACCTAAGAAGTTATCAGCCATTCTAACTTCTAAACCACTGTTCTAGCTGCAACATGGCAAAGCCGGAAGGAACGTATGCCAGATCGGAGCTCCTTTCGCCGGACGAGAACAGGATTGTAGAGCAGATGTACGCCCCAAAGAGAGAGGTTTGTAGATCTAGATATTGTTAAGGGTGGGAAGGTAGGGCACGCTCGATTTGGTGAAAAGTAAAGTAATGATTCCCAATCTTTAAGCAATTTTACGCCATTGAGAGCTGATTGGCTGAGAGCTTATGAGCTGGAAGCTGGTTGGTTGAGACCTGGAAGCTGATTGTATCCACCTAATTAGTCCCATATTCGTCGGATCCCTTTGTCTGACAGATTCTTATTCTAAATATTTTGAATTACTTTTCTGGAATGAAGATAGAAAATGTTTAGCAATGCTCATGATCGATTATTTATAATAACGGAATATTTATAATCTTGAATTTCACTACCGTCTGCTCGAACAGTTGTGAGCGTTCCGCAGAATAGCGCACTCCTTCATTGAAATAGCTCAAATTTCGAGCTAAGAAGAAAAAATAAACGTACTGATTTGTCATTCTTAGGCTACTTCTTTAATTATCCGCAATGAAAATGAAAGTGAAACTGAAACTGTTTGCAGGTGTTGGCTTGTTCGGTTGCTCAGTTATTTCACGCTGCCCCAAATCCCAGAGCGTGGGCTAAGCAGCAGACTGGTGTGATCGTTCTTATCAAGGACCACAATCAGAGATCGTACTTTCTTCAATTCGTTAACATCGATGTGAGTAACAGTGTAGAAAAATCTAAAATAGTGGTAGGAACAACATTAACAGCAGTAAACGTATTTATTGATGTTTCTAACGGATTTTTTATTGTTTGTTTCTAACAACGGATTTTTAACTATCTTTTTATTTCACCACCCCTCACTAACGTCTCACTAACCCCTCACTAACTCCGCACTAACGTCTCACTAACCCCTCACTAACCCCTCACTAACCCATCAGACTCACTTACCCCTCACTAACGTCTCACTAACGTCTCACTAACCCCTCACTAACTCCGCACTAACCCCTCAGACTGACTTACCCCTCACGAACGTCTCAGACTCACTAACCCCTTACTAACTCCGCACTAACCCCTCACTAACGTCTCACTAACCCCTCACTAACCCCTCACTAACGTCTCACTAACCCCTCACTAACTCCGCACTAACCCCTCACTAACTCCGCACTAACGTCTCACTAACCCCTCTCTAACTCCGCACTAACCCCTCACTAACGTCTCACTAACCCCTCACTAACCCCTCAGTCCTCACTAACCCCTCACTAACCCCTCAGACTCACTTACCCTTCAGACTCACTAACCCCTCACTAACGTCTCACTAACCCCTCAGACTCACACTGCAACATACTCGGAAGAACTATATTTGGAGATGGACTATAAAACTCCTTACCCTTACTTTCATACCTTTGCTGGGGAGGTAAGTTTAAACACACATACACGTACCGTCACAATAGTGACTTTAACATACATATCTCTTGTTCTGAAAGAATTCTGATTAAATTTTAGATCAGATCAGTTTTCACTATCAGCAAAGAATCTTCAGTCACGAAGTTCATGCAAGGCAATTATATCATGATTTTGATCAAATCTGAAGACTGCAATTTTATTATTTGTCGTATGAGTCTCCTCCAGAGCTCAGCTCAGTATTCTACTCACATTCTCTCACGTGCTGTAAGATTAGCCAGTGAAATGAGAAGAGGAATGTGGCTTGTAAAGTGTAAACCACTGACCAGTATTAGATTACACACTATTACACTATGCAGTACTGAGCTGCTACTAGGTATTTATAGCCCGCACAGTACTTCAAGCCTTCAAAACTCCGGCAAATCGATATTTTATTAGAATAATAAACTTAATACCACTAATTTGACATCAACCGAGACATTAACCACATGATGTAATAGTGATGGTAGTAGTGACACAATAACTAGTTACCGCAATGTATGAACTGAATTAATTAAATATCACTATTACGATTTTGGGGTTATCTAAAGATCGTTTCATTTATTCATTTATATTGAGATACACGCCACTTTTTACATAAAATAGTTAAATAGAGTATAATAAATGACAGTGCACAGTGCACAGCCATGACAACAGTACATTATTATACAATACTTACACTGTTTATAATGTATTATAGTGTAACACTATTATTAGGTTAGTTTTGTTAGTTTAAATAAGATCACATGATCGGGCATTTCCTTAACATTCCTGACAATTATAAACAGCCCAAATGTAGTGTTTAGTTGCAAGTAAAAATAAATAACATTAACAGTTAGCAAAACAGAACTATTAAGTTGGATGTAAGGTATCTGAAACTGTTAGTCAGAATATTGAAACCCGTTCAAATTCAGAATCATAGCTAAATCAGTAGGTAATATTGGCCGCAGGCCGCAGCCACGATTAGTTTTGAGCTAGCATTGAGCTGATTATACGATAGTTCCAAGTGTACTGTGGAATGTACACCATATTTATTGTTATGATCGCCTGTAAATGTAACCCTCGTATCAGCTTACAACCGTTTATAACCGTCATTTCAGAGATGTATAGTTGGACTGAACTACTGTAACGACGGAGAAGCTCAGAGATTCGGAGATGCTGTCAAGCAAATCATTCTTCGGAACAGGAAGCGAAAAGGTGCGTTATTTTACTTTGTTGGTTGCACGTGTCCTGGGTTACACGTAAGTTGCACGTGTCCTGGGTTACACGTAAGTTGCACGTGTCCTGGGTTACACGTGAGTAGCACGTGAGTTGCACGTCGCGTGTCGTGTATTACACGTCGGTTACACGTGGGGGCTAACTACTCATGTGTCCTACTCGTTTTTAACGTCACAATATTACCAATACCATGATTTTACACCCTGTCCAGAGTGACGGTTCTGATTATAGAGAATTATGGATGACAATTCATATTGTAATGTGAAGTAATCTCAAGTAACTAGGAGATGAGTAGGATCGAGGCGACAAACAGATATTTTGACAGGCATTTTACACATTTCGACTTCACAGTAGTTTTAATAGTAGTTATAGTAATAGTAATTATAGTAATAGTAATATTAGAAGTTGTTGTACTAGTCTCAAAAAGCAGCTGATTATTATTTTAAATATTTCCCTGTCACTGCTGTTAAAGTCGTCATCCACTTCTACGTGAGCCACTTCTAATTCCGAACACTTGACAAATTGTTAGATCTGTAGTAGCTCAGCTACTACAGCTCTTACCCTCACTCCAACTAAATTACTCTAGTAGCGTGGTTATATTAATTTAAAGATCTCGGTAAAATATCCTTTATCTTGACCCCCTTCCTCCCAATCCATTACAATCTTGATCGAACTTGACCCCACCATTTTGTCAGCTCTTGTCACTCTTCTAAATATATTTCCTACCTTGTATAATATCCTACAGTGTTATAATATATTGCTCCAATACATATTTTACAACATTTTACTCTGCACCGCGTGTGACGCTCTCTAAGTTCGACAGAGAGCTCTCTCAGTGCATTATAGAGGGCCATTATCCGCCGTTAACATGCTCAAGTGGCGGCGTGTGTATATTAGATACGTCACTGCTACCTTAACCCATTAAACTTAGCTCTCTATATTATAGCTTGCTGTTCTGTTATGTCTCTCACATCTTTCTGGCGGAGCAGTATTATATTGCAATAGTTTAGTCGTCCATTGGTTAACCGTTATTCAACTACTGTTAATTATAGTGGTTATCTATTGTGGAACCACATTGCTGAATCACATTATTGATGAGCGGCTGTTTACTGAATATTTCTAATTTTATAGATTGTGGCTCTCAGACAAGAGACGTGATGTAGGATCTATCTTAGTCACATTATTTCCAACGGATAATTAAAGTTTCCCTGAACTGGGGTTGTGCGATGAATAATGAGCATCTAATTAAATGATGAAATATCTGAAAACACAGAACAGTATCTTGATATAATCTGATGAGCGTCAGAAAGCAGAGCAAGAAGAAAGAAGAACCAACAATCCCTCCTCTCTCGAGCCGCTCAATCTGCATATCTGGTCAGATCCCTCCCACAGATAACACTCTTATAGATGTGCGACAGAGAACCTCCTCCTCTTCCTCCTCCTTCGACAGACTCTGGTGCACTCCCTACTCTTCACTAGAACAGATCTACGCTTCTTCACAATCCTCCCTTCTCAGCATCCCTTCCCTGGAGCGACTATCCCAGAACTCGCTAGATAGAGTTGAGAAGTTTGAGGATGCAGTAACTTTCCCCCGACCTCAACCTCGAGTTATAGCCCCAATAAGAACAGTGTCTCTGTGTAACAAAGTACCTTCGGAACGTTTAGTGTCTGGGCTGCAGCTGGGAGATTTACATTCTAATTTCCAAAGTCTGGATTCAGATGCTGGTGCTACTGTAACCCCTGCCGTTACCCCTGTTGCTCCTGTTGCTCCTGTTGCCCCAATCCGAACAACATCGAATAATCCCCTAAATCGAGGGAGTAGTTTCCAACCTGCCTCAAGTCGAATAAGCAGTTTCCAACCTCCTCTCAGTCGAATAAGTAGTTTCCACTCTTTGGATGATGATGTGTCCAGCCCAATTTCTACCACGACATTCTCTCACTTTACACTGGACCAATCTTGTGACACCACCCAGCTTCGCGTTCAACCTCAAGCTCCTCCAAGGAACGCGTCTCTCCATCCCAACTCAAAGTGGAGTAATGATAGAGAAGACAGGATAAGAGAAGATAGAGAAGTGATTGCTAATTTACTCTCTTTGCGAGGGGAGCCGACTCACAGTAAATGTAATCAGATGAGAGCTAGAGGGAGGAGGTCACCTGAAACGGACTCTCGAACAACTCTCCATTTAGGAGAGTGTACTATTCAGATCAATGTCACCAAGCCACCTTCCCGCTCTAGCTCTGGTAAGATATATGGTTCAACTGAGAAGATTGATACTATCAGTAACTAGTAACTAGTTACTAATTTAGTAATTATAAATTATGTAAATAAATAAAAAAGATACATCAGATACTTTTAATTTAGTACGTGTTAATCCTCCCTCACCGGTTCATTTATGCTGTCTGAAAAAACTAATGTCCTTTATTATTATATACACTTACGTGTAAACAGCTGAAATCTTAAACAACAATTCCATGTGGCCCGAAGAAATAGGACAGTTTTCAAAAATATATTTAAAGCGCATGCAGTGCATGCGCTTATATATTTTTGAAAACATGCAGGCCATGCACGTTATTTGTTTAGATTCTTAGGCAGAACAAATGCCATCACCCCCTCCCCTCCCATTCCCCATCAACCAAACCCTCCCCCCCCCCCACTCCCCAGCCCCCATCATATTCTGGTTCTAAATAGAATCCAGTTGAAAATGTGTCCAGATAAAGAACCATGATACAATACCATAAATGGGTTAATAACTTAAAGTTATTGCTTGTTTTTTTTGTTTGGGCCCGGACGGTGCCGGTGGTTCTAATGACCATTTACTAAAATACATAAATACAAAATACAATATAGTATAAATATTATAATCAGAAGTTTTATAAATCCTATCCGTCCAAGTTAAACTTGAAGGGCGCTACACGCACGACGAAAACTCCCTTTAATGTGAGCTGAAGTAGACTACTAGTAGTAGAGCTAGTAGCGCTTGAAATTGACAGAACTGAAAACGAAATCTGACAATTGTCGCGAAAACTGACAGTTTTGTGTGCTCGAAGTGTCGAGAAATACTGACAGTGCAAAACTGGGCACACAGGAGTGAGTTAAAACATCCTCCACACAACAAAAACTTGAATACACTAATAATAATCAATTATTAAAAACACTCAAGCTCATTCTGCAGTCTTAGTAGTCTTATCAGTACTCTTTATAGCACCGTTTCTGATAAAGTGTAGCTTATCAGGCTGCTCAGTTACCAGTCTTTTCATGTCACTGACGAGTTCTCTTTGCTTGGCTCTCTGTTCTGGAGATCGATCTGGGCTGATAAAAACAGTTTTAAACTTTTCCGTTGCTCGCAGGTTTCTCGATTTAGCGAGAATCTGATTAACAATTGTTGCACTTGCCGCAGTCACTTTAACTGGTCTCACAGCCTTGCCAGGGTTGAGCTTTCCGACTCTACTAGCTTCGATTCTGGGTTTCTCTCCGATTGCTGAGAACACTTCACTGACCACGGTGCTGAGCTCCTCATTGTCCTGCTCCGATAAACCAAAAATCATCAGATTTTTGTTTCGGTCTTCCTCCTGTACCACAGTTTTCACAGCTTTCTTGATCATTTCAGAACTGACAGGCTTCTGAGATTCTGGACAATTCGCCTGTAATACCGAGCTGAAGGATTGGAATTCAGCCTTGACAGACTCTCCGACTGACGATTTAACTGACGTCTGCAACGATTCCAACTGTTCATTTTTGCAGGCTAGTAGTTCTGACTGCAACTTAATGATGGTCTCCTGTGTCTCGAACATATGATGTTTAACTGAATTTGAGGCTATCTTGTAGTCCGTGGATACGACACCAGTGAACTCCTCCAAATATATTAATGCATCGTACAACAAGTCACACGCAGTGTCCTTGTTCATCTTCTTCACGCGCGAAGGGGATAGTTGCCCAATTGCTGTGATCTCCATCTCGTTCATAGCCTTGTTGAGAAGTTCAACTGAGTCACCCCTTAACATGTTGATCTCCTTTTCACCATACTCGCTGGGCGGGATGGTCATGGTCGTGTAACACGGTGATACACAAACCACTGTAGCTGCACGTTACAATCAACAGAGATAAGCACTAAGATAAGAGAGTAAGAAAAGAGCAACGTATGCAATTAGTGTAATACTGAGATGAACACTTATATCAATGCCCAAATATGAGTTACCCGGTATCTATATAGAACATGACATTTCATTAATTATATGATCAGACAAGCAGTAGGTAGGTCAGAAGTTCACCTGAATTATGGGGGAGTAACTGCGTGTTCTAGTGTGGTGTGGCTTAGCAGAGTGTAACTAGTTACATCAACGATGAGATTAGTTGTTGTCGTTTAGTAGGGTACTGACTCATCTTTACTTTCAGAGAAGATGGATGCCGCCTCACGGCCCCGTCCGTCGCCTCAAAGTCTGGCGCCGCCAATGCCGGCTCCTGCTCCAGTGCCGTCGCCGGAACCCGGCAAAAAGGACAAGAAGGATAAAAAGAAGGATAAGAAAGACAAGAAGGGAAAGAAGAAAGGTATCTCCAAGGCTGATATCTCTGGTCCTTCCAACTTTCAACACTTGTCTCATTTGGGTTGGGACAAGGACAAAAACCAATTCGATGTAAGTTAATGAGTTTAGAATTATGTTAAATTTATGAGTTTATTTGCATAATAAAGTGGTTTTAGAATAAAGGTTGTTTTTCCAGGTAAAAGTTGCTAAACGCTTTTATATTCCATGTTTTGTCGTCAAATTTTATCCTTATCTAAATTAGGATAAATCAAGAATTTTCATCGCAAAATATTTTTCAGAAAAATGAAATCATACACGTATACTATACATGGTAACCTTTCTAGTGACCCTATAAACTACATAATTGTGTCTTCAACGCTACATTTCGCACGTATCGAACTTTATATTCATGTACGGACTTTGCTTGGTAATGACTAAATACAACAACGCTAATTTTGACAAATATGATTTGATCTGAAGTTACATCAATACATCTATTCATACAGAATCTTGCACTCTTATTTAATACGTTGGTTGCCCCGTTGTCTGTACTATGAGTTGTAAGGTTGAGCAGCATTTGTCGAGGAGAATTAGTAAAACTCCTACCTGGCACAAGACATGTCATCATCTTTACAAGATGGGGTTCATGACTAAAGTAATTAATTAATTAAGTGATTAATTAATTAAGTGATTTTAAGTGATTTGTCCGCTTGTTAACATCGTATCGTGTGGTTCCCTGCACTGTTCTTGTGCAACATTTACAAGAAATGTACATAGTACATTAGTGTGTGGTGCATGTTCATTGTTCATGTCATGTCTTTCCCAGGAATCTCAAATTCACCCCGCGTTAAAAGACTTGTTAGAGACGGCCGGCATTAAAGCGACTGCACTGAAAGATGAGGGAACGGCTGAGTTTATCAAGACATTCGTAGAGAGTCATGGTGGTATGGACACCTTGGTGAAAGAGAAACAAAGACGAGCTACTATTAGAGGTAGGTTTCACTACGTAGTTTTAAGTACATTTTGAACTAATTTCGTATCAAATTATCAATATCAACCACAGATACGCACTCTAAAATTTAAATAAGATGTTTCAGCCCAAAGTCATGGTAGAGGACCGCCGCCAGCCCCTCCTTCAATGGGAGGACATAACGCGCCGCCCCCACCGCCCCCCTCAGGGGGTCACACCAGAGCCCCTCACGCCCCCTCACGAGGGGGCCCCCCTCCTCCTCCTGGCAGACAGGTACACACTTTGTTAAAATTTTAATAGTGATTGCTCATTTTATAATTACATACACAAAATTGATTTTGTGAAATGTTATCGACTTTTGATAGAAACTTCTGAGTTGCTGTTTTGAATATAACAAATCTCTTTATCGACCTGAAACGTCTCTCATCGCGAGTATTTTCGTACAAAAGCTTTAGAGTTTATATTATAATTTAGTTATATTCGAGTTTATGTTATATACAAAAGGGGGGATAAAGAAATATTTGAGATCTGTCTCCTAGAAAGTAAATGGGTGATCTGCCTGGAATGTGTGTTGATCTAGTAACACTCTAAACACAAGCCCCCTGAACCAATCGGTCACATCACATACTACATAAAATATGTAATAGTCCCGAGCATCGACATAAAACATTTCTTCAAAATGAGTACATTAATCAAAGTATTTTTAAACCCTCCTCAGTTTAAATACCAATATTTTGATAACACGAGGTTACTTACAGGCGCGTCTGTCGCAGCCCCCACCTGCTCCCCCAGTATCAAGAAAAAAAGTAAATGTGTCTTAGCCCTGGAAATGTCTACTGATAGACACTTTGCAAATTAACACTGATCAGCTGTGATTGACCTAAAATTTGATTAGAAACTCGGCATTTGATTTTATTCAAATTAGTTATTTTCGAGTGATATATTTATATTCAATAACATACAGTAAAGCTGAACACATTTCGAAGCCCCCTGAACCCCCTGAACTCCTGAACCAATCGAGTCTTTGATGGGTTTCCAATTGGTAACATCACAGGCTACATAAAATATAGCCACAAGCATCGACATAAAACCTTCCTTCAAAAGGGGAAGACCATTTGCCCCAGGATTTTTAAACCATCCTAAGTTCAAATATGAATATTTTGATAACACAAGTTTACTTACAGGCGCAGCCCCCACCCCCAGTATCAAGACAAGGACGGGGACCACCCCCTCCACCCTCGTCTCGAGGGGCTCCACCCCCACCATCACGAGTAGGAGGGGGACCACCCCCGCCCCCTCCTGCTGTTAGAGCTCCTCCTGCTCCAGGTAACAAATGGAACTTTCTTACTTGAAATATTGCCAGGGTAATATTGTACTAGAAGATTATTCTTATCTTGCAATAATTTTATTAGTTTCCGTGGAACGAAAACAATTTGGTTTATTAAATTTTAAATTAGTCTGGGTAAGTAACTCCGTCCCTGTGATTGGTGGACTCAAATTAAGCGATTATGTTATTTTCAGCTGCTCCGCCAGCACCCAGAGCACCCCCAGCACCCAGAGCCCCTGCTGCACCGAGAGCTCCTGCTGCACCGCAGGCTCCCTCTGTCAGAGCTGTGGCTCCTGGTGCACCGCCGCCCCAGTCTGGCAGAGGAGGGCTACTGGCCGAAATTCAATCGGGAAAAGCTCTTAAATCAGTGGTACGTTATATGAGTACAGTGAGTATCTCTCTGTTTATAAAGTCCTGTTGTATAATGTCAAAATCACCTCTATTGTGAATGATTTTTACCCAAAATGTGTTGTCAGGACTTGGTGTCTACTAAAAGTAGTGATGATGGTGGTGGTGGAAATGATCTGCTGTCAGCAATCAGGAACTTTGGTGGTGCTGCTGGTGGTCTTAAGTCGGTGAGTGATGTTAATATGTTTGCTATCCTTAATTTAGCTTTGATTCATATCGCTTAAATTTGTGATTCATCTCCAAAACAACCAAATAATGCCCTGTTAAAGGTCGGTGATTCAGCGGATTCTTCTAAGTCTAGCACTCCGAAAAGTGGTAGAAGCCGGGTAAGTTAGTGTGAAGACTGAATGGTGTGGGTTTGAGTTTACAAAGCCATTTTGGTCGTAAGACCACGATCATCTGACGATCATTATCATGCTATAATTAGCTTACACTTTGTTATAATAACAGATGTAAAGCTTGACCGGAAGAGCTTGAACTATTACAGCACGTAACGCGCGGTCTCCGAATTGAAAATTTGTAGGTTAAGTTACGCACATCATGTACGTACGTACGTACGTACGTACGTACAGTTATCTCAGCGCGCAGAAGTGGAATGCACGCATGCTGTTAAACTATATGTTCTCTCTAGTCTGCGAGCAATATACCCGGCTGCTATTAACTAGTATAATTAATAAAGCTTAACTACAGGCACAAAATGCGAGACCAGAGGCCGAGCCCGAACAAAATGACGAGTTAGAAGGAATGGCAGGAGCTTTGGCTAGAGCCCTGGCAGGGAGAAACAAAGCACTGGCCCAAGATTCTGACCAGGACAGCGAGGAAAGTGATGACGATTGGTCTGACTAAAGACGGACTGTTCCCGGCATGGACTAGACACAGTTCGTGTGTCCACAATTCTGTTTTATATTGGATGTGTATTATACAAGACGATTTTTGTCAGTGGGTCTAAAATTAAACATTTTGATAAAAAGATATTTTGTGATGGACAGTCCATGACAATTTTAGTCCATGCTCTATTCTATGTAAATATGTATCTTATCATTATTAAGCGATTTAAAAGTGAACTTTACTCACGAAAGCATGTTCCTACGGAGATGAATTTGAAGGGACCTGTGTCTATAAGGACAGTTCAAGGATTTAATTATCTAGATAGTAGATAACATTTTGATTCGTGAAGATCTTCACTAAATAAAAAGTAGACTCAGGTCTCTATTAATCGATATTCAGTAGAACAGTTTCTACAAAGGAGAGTTCTGACGTTTCATTTTTAAACCGACTGACTTCTTGCAATACAAGGAATAATGGACTGTAAATGTATTATTTTGAAGAGTATTTCTTGTCATGTAATGTAAACTTCCTGTTATGTATCATTTTGCTATTAAATCCGCGTTTCCTTCCTAATCATGACAAAATAAACACAAAATTCCACCAATAAATATCACATTTCTATAAGATAAAAGCAGTCAGAGTGGAGCTAAAAAAGAGTTAGGCAGTGTTTGCCGGGACTACTGGCGTCAACGCGGCACCCAGGATCAGTTTGTTGGATTCTTTCAATTTCAAGACTTGCTGAACGTAGTAATCTCCGTAATGACGAGCAATCTTGGTATCCGAGATATGTACCATGTTCTTATCAACGTAGAAATCTATATCCATCGTTGTTTGATCGGTACTATCGCCCTTCGCCTGAAATGTGGAACTGTGAGCCCGCTGCTCAGTGTATAATCTGATCAGTTAACTCGAAGAGTACTACAAGGTATCCTGAAGTTAACTAGAAGAGTACTACAAGGTATCCTGAAGTTAACTTGAAGAGTACTACAAGGTATCCTGAAGTTAACTTGAAGAGTACTACAAGGTATCCTGAAGTTAACTTGAAGAGTACTACAATGTATCCTGAAGTTAACTTGAAGAGTACTGCAAGGTATCCTGAAGTTAACTTGAAGAGTACTGCAAGGTATCCTGAAGTTAACTCTTAAAGAGAACTTCAAGTTATTCTTTATCTACTTCATTAAACCTAGAACAACCTCCATGTTGTTGTAGCCTGCAGGCAACCTTGGATCAACTTAAGATAAAGCTGATCTGATCCTGAAGTTAACTGACAGAAAGCATGAAGTTTACCTAACGTTAGATATGCGTCGACTTCCAATTATATCGGTCCCGATATTTGAAATTGTATCGCCTCTCAGATTTGCTCTCAGATCCTATAGGGTTTGAGTATCCTATAGGGTCCAAGAGCAAATCTTACCGGCACTCAGAATTGTTAAATCCTATATCAGCTAGGATTAGCGCTCGGATCCGATAGGTTTTTAATTTCCTATCGGGTCCGAGAGCGAATCCTATCGACTCTCGGAATTGACATATCCTATCGCCGCTCGGCGATAGGAATTCATCAGAGGTATCCTAGGCCCGATCGGCGTAAGGATTGACAAAATCAGAGATATCTTGGACCCGCTAGGATAAATCTTAGGGTAATCCTATCTGATTAAAATCGCAGAAATCGCCCTTCTGATTGAGCAGCCGTACGTGCAGCCTAGCCGGCCGCGCGTGCTGATATATCGATCTTAACTTTTCATATCGCAATACGAACTCACGTGGCACATATTTGAATGATAAAAACTAGTCGCGCGCTACAAATATACAAATTCTCAGGGTGACTGGCCGAATATAAGACCGCCGAGAGCTAAAATTGTCGCCTCATATGACGCTAACGGCTAAGCATCCTGAAAACTTCCTTAAACGATGGACGGTATGCTGGAATCACACGATTCCTTCATTAGAATGGAACTAGAAAAGGTATTAGTGAGTCATATGAATCCGCCGTACTGTCCACCTTTCTAGAAAAGTTTCGCCTTCCTGTCTAACGTCGCTGTAGAGATCAACCCCAAAGAAAAAGTTATTGATACATTCTTTTTAAAAGTACTTACGACTTCTTTTTTGTGTTTGAAGGCCATCAGGCAACACCTGACTTCATTTTCGTGCATGTCCAAGAACTTGGCAAGTTTTGAGATTGGAATTGAGGTATACAGCTTCAAGAAACTTCTCAATGTAGGAATGAGTCTCTGTTGCTCAACTTCAGCCTTGAATACTTGCAATTGCAACCCTCTTGGTCCACTGAAACATTTGTTACCAATTTGTTGATAATTTAACCCAGAAAGGCGAAAGCTAATAGAAGAATTGTGATCGCTAAATTACGATACATTTAAAATCTGTCATATGAATTAAATAGTCCCAGCACTGATCATTACCTGCTACCGAAAGGTGATGTGGGATTTTCAGAAACAACAGGTGAGAGGAATTTGGGGCATCCACTGAAAAAGAGATCATCATATACGGCCATATCACCGTGCTGAATTCGTGCCACCTTATCTCCTTGCTTCTCTTTTATCTGAAAAAGATAAGAGATTTAGTTGCACTGTACCATCTTGGTAGGCATCGAGCCATTTTATCATTATACTCTATTCTAGACTCAAATTGATCATACACTCTAACTTAATTTAATAAATAATGTGAGATTGCTAACCTGAATATTAACACTCTCATCTAATCTGAGTGGACAGAAAGTGCTAGCAATAGCGAGAAGAGCCAACATTTGCTCGTTCTTTTTGTTAATATCATCTGCTTGGAAAGATCGGTTCTGGAAGAATTGTTTGGTTCTCTGCATGTACCCCAGTATGTGTTGGTACCTGTACAAATACATATTTGTTGGAACATTCTAGAGGATCTATGTTCTAAATCTATTATAAAACGGAAAGAAATGTTAGAGATTAACTTGAAATCATAAGCTTAACACAATAGTTTTCATTGCTCAAATCTAAATACTAAACTTACAGCTGAATAGTGTTTCCGTATTTCCTGATCATGAGATAAGCGAACCCAGCATAATAATTAGCTGTTATCTGACAAGCAGGAACCAGAGCCATCATGTCCTTATCTTTAAACTGCACGTGTTCAATACATGAGAGTGCCATGTGGTAGTCACCCAGCAGGACGTACAGACGTAATAATCCTACCAAGCTGAAGAAACCTAGACAAAATATTTGTAGTTTTACAGAAAATATTTGTAGTTTTACAGTAAATGGTGACCCTCTTTTATGGTGACCCTCTTTTATTTTTATATGTGAGATTAACATCTGCATCATGCATTTGAATAACTATATATACTGTTTCCGTTAACCTCTAAGTAGCTGTTTAAAAAAGGTGGTTAATGTTTCACAGTTTCAAGGTTAAGAATATCATAGAAGAGTCATTCACTTTCTCTGTGATAACAAAATTAAAGTCAACAACTTCGAAAATAATATCAGTTTGTTTATGGGCATTCCCAAGTTTCACAATTCACATACCAGTCATAGTATAGATTGGTTTCATTCCAAACTCTCCAACTATTTCCTCGGTGATAGCTTCACCTTTCTCCATAGCAATAAGCTGTTGGTTAATATTACACTTCTCGGTGAGCTGCAGTAGGATGTTCAGGACTGCTGTAACTTTCCAGACATTATCCTCGTCATCTCTCAGCATACTCTTCTCTTCATCATTTATCTTACCTGCCTAAAGGGAGTAATTAATTATTTAATTAATTAAGTAATTAATTACTTCTTTACTTAATTAATTAATTGATCCCATATTGAAAGATATATTCGTATTTTGAGGTGTACTTCTAACCGACTTTTAGTTTAATAAAATTATAACTTATAAACTTATCAGCTACAATATTGGTCTCCTAACCTTGCTTTTAAATTGCTGGAAGTTCTGGAACTGGTAAACAAACTCTTCAATGATATCCCACAGCCATTTGTTAGGGAGCTCTATCTTTACGGGCTCTTCAGCTGTTAGCAGATAAGAGAACAGTTCACAGTAGTTTGCGTACGAGTCAAACCTGGGGCCGGTCAAACGTTAAACGCATTATTATATTATGTAAACATGTAAATATTACATGTTTATATATTAGTAAATGTTATCTAAGAATAGGTAGTAGTAGGTAAATAAGATGTTTTAATATTCACTGTTAAAAACATTTGATATTCAATTAATGAATTTAGCGACTCAAAATAAAATACAAGATTTTTTTAAATTTTCTAACAGTTAAAAGTTAGAAACGTTTGGAAACCTGTGTTCGAGAGTGGGCTTGAGGCGAGCGTAAATGTGCCTGTAGTAAAGCTCTCTGTAAAGAATCATGAATATTGAGGCTTCGTCCTTTTCCTCGACAATTCCCTGCACAACGTCTGGAGCAGGCCATGTCTTGTCTTTGAAGTAGAAATCTGAAAATAGGCATGTTTTAATTGTAGACTTCTACCTGAGGTAAAACAAACATGATGAAGTAAAATGGTACTGTTAATGAGAACTTAAACATACTGATATTTACCAATTCTTCATAAAACTTGAATTGGCATAAAAGTAGAACCATGATACAATACTATAAATTTAAATGTGCAAACTGTGGAGCTATTTGTGTAAACCTGATATTTTGTAGTAACCGTCCTCGTACATATTCTCCACATGGTAGATCTCTCTCTTCTCAATAAAATGGTAGAACCACTTCAGAAAGTTAACCACAGGTTCAGCTACTTCGCCTTGTTGAGATGAAGGTCCTAAAATAGAAAAGTCTCAATTATAAGCAAAGTTGATAAGATTGATATAGATTCAAAATAACTGGTATGGAAAGTAATGACACATGTAAAATGTACATCATGCAAGATATATGTAATTTTCGATAAATTTTAATAACTAAAATGTCTGTAACCTGTGTAATACATCTGCATCTGTACTGGCATAGCAGCCACATTTCCTTGCCACGCCATAACTGGAATAACGTTACAAGGGTGATTATTGGGTAAAATATAAGGGTTATTGTAATTATTACCGGGATTAAATTAAATCAGTAACTAACAATTTCCTTCGACACCCCTTTCCATTGAATGCATGACCAATTGTAATCAATATACAATTATATATCATTTTTATAAAATTTAAGGAATATGATAATTTAGTGGCACAAATAATGAGAAGATATTAGATTTGGTAAATAAACATAAATTGATAATAATTACAAGCAATTCATACAATAAATTGAAATAAATAAAGTATAAACATCATGTCTTTAAAATGGCACCTTGTCTTGAAGGTTGTCCTTGATTAAGTGTATTTTGGTAAATCTGAGCGAGTCTGGGTTGATCGAGTTCTCAGCTAAGTGGGTCTCATATCATTTAATGATAGGAATGATATTATACCGTAACTACACATTGTCAAGGAGATGGAATTGTTAAATAGTCAAATCACGCTTAACAAAAATTTAAAAGGGAGTTAAAAAGATTCTGAATACCACAAGTATATTATTCAATCATCTGAGTCACTAAAATTAATAACAGCACTCTTCTTCTTCTTAGCCGAAACCAGCCCCTGAGCATCTGAATCGGAACCAGAGTCACTGATCAGACCCTGCTTACGTTTAGCTGAAGAATTTGCAGACTTGGGGCTGTTTTCCTTGTCACTCGTGTCATTATCTTCATTATCATCAAACTTTGGAAGCTCATCATCTGAACCACTCAATTTCCTGGACGTGTTAGTGGATTTCGGAGCAGAGCTTGACATTTCATCACCAGAAGACGACCTTTTTTTAGATTTTGAAGGTTGGTTTTGACTCCTCATCTTATTAAAGAATGCATCCATATCATCTTCATCAGAACTATCATCTTTGTGAGAGAAGTTCAACTGTGACTTGTTTTGTGGCTTGATTTCATGAAGGCTATCATTGGATTGGTCACTGTCAGAATAGTCAACATCTCCCTGTAACAAAGACACTGCCCTTCTCAATATATTGTCACTGACATCACTGGTTATCTTCCAGTATGTTTCATAGGAGCTCAGTGGAGGTACAGCCCCCAAACATTTCAACATGTCTTGGAAGGAATTGTTCTTCATTGCCTCATGATGATCTTCCTCTCTTGGGATTATGAAAACAGTATCGTAATCCAACAAGTCTTCTCGGTTATCCATAACACTTTGACAAATACCAGCTATCCACTTTAATGGCATTTCAGGTTGTAGATTCTTTACATATCTGGGAAATTCGAAGAAGTCAAACTCCTCTTCTATTTCTTCTTCAGACTCTTCGCCCTCCTCATCTGAGTACATGTCGTCGATCTCAATGTAAAGATCAGCACCCTCCACAGTCCCTATTTTCTTCATTCTTACTAGTTGTTGAATTATAGAACTTGTATCTATGTGTGGCAATTCTGATTTGATTTTCAGAATCATATCCTTTTTAGAACTCAGAGAATCATGTTTGGTTAGAACATTAATCTCAGCTTTAGTCCAGAAATGATCAGAACTGTTTTCATCTCTTCGTAATCTCAATCTGACAAGCGCATCCTTGATTTCTTTTATTGTCCTATGCTTTGGGATGTTATCTTGGATAACTTCCAAAAGTGCATCTCCAGTATGACCTTCACTTTTGTGCTCATACAAGATCTTCAACTCTTCATCATCATCCTTTGTCCAGATGCTGCGATTGACATCGAGGCTAGATTTCTTGATGCCTAATAAGGATTCTAGTTCTTTAATGATCTTTTTCCTAGATTTTGTGTCCAGCTTTTCTTGAATCAAAGCTACAGGATCTCTTTCATATTTATATTCTTCGTATAACTTTGTCAATGCTTCTTTTTCGTCAGGCAACCATTCTACCTTATTCTTTGGCTTCTTCTTTAATATGTCAGAATTTTCTTCACCTACCAACCCTAATTCGATGATTTTCTTTTTAACATCCATCCTCTGTTTGTCTGTACTGGTAGTCATGTCTTGAGCAATCATATCACAAAGATCAATAGCTCTGGCCTTATCAAGCCACTTCTCAAATAATGATTTCACTTCTTCCTCTTCCTGTGCGCTCCATACAACTTTTTGTTGTGGCATAAGTTTCTCTGGGTTGTAGCCGCTGTCAATGGCAAGTACATCATCTGGTGTTTTCCAAAATACTGCATCCAGACAGATCAATGGAGACTCCTTCAAAGCTTGCACATATTTCCGAATTAGAAAAGTTGCAAACTTCTGAAGATCTTTGTAGCTGTCGATCTTGGGTGCAGATAAGATTTTTTTCAGGGTAACGAAAAACGAAATCTGATACATTAGAGAGCCCATAGCAATTTTGCTGGCCATACGATAGAGCATTTTTACAGTGGCATGATTAGCTGACGGTGGGTTGGTTTCAAAGAACTGGAGCAAATAACAGTAACACTTCACTATCTGAGGACGTGCATACAGCATCAAATAATCATTATTCTGAAATTTGTGTTCACTCACATGATGTAACTCAGTAGCATGCATTTCAGTTTCCTTAGGATCATCATTATCTTTAGAAAATGTGTCTGCAGACATCATTTCAGGTATTTCCTCTTTAGACAAAAAGATAGATTTTACAACATTAACCTCATCAATGATGGCCATATCTGGCATCCCAAAGGAAGGAGAACTTGGCCAAACTTCTTGAGCTGCTTTATAGAGGGCAACTGCTTCATCAAATGAACCTGACTTCAGGAGGTCCTGAATGTTGTGTTTACACAACACTCTTTGCTGCTCCATAGAGTGATCAGAAGACGCATCAAATGGTCGGACATTGCTGGTAGAGATGCTGGCTGACGACATGATTTTAAGAACCTCATTTTCAATGTCTCCATCCCACATTTCTTGCATTTCCCTGTCGGAAAGTAAATTCTTCTTCTTCTTTGCTGGTTTCTTTTTCTTTTTGGCAGCTTTTTTGGTTTGTTGCACAATCAGTGTATTGCTTTTAGTGTATGCATCAAGCATTCTGATATAGAGATGGGTGCATTCAATAAGATCAGTGAGATATGATTTAGTAAAAAAGGACCTCTGAAATTGCTTTAATAGCATTGTTGGCAATTCCCTATATTCTTGCTGATAGAATATTATGTTTTGAATCACACCTGAGATGTTCTTGATTTTTGAGTCTTTAGACACTTGCATGAGACTCAAATTTTCAAGCATTTCCCTGTATGCCTTAACGGCAAAATGAAGTCGCTTTGCCCAAAGTTTCATTTTATGAGCCATTCTAGAGCTGTAACCTTTTATTTCTTCATGAAACTTAAAAATGATTTGCAAAATATAGGAAAAGGTGTCTGAACTCAAAGTTTCTGCCACCAGTTCCAACTTGAAACCCACAATTCTGTTGAACTCCATAAAGAAACAACAGGCCCAAAGGTAAAACGATTCATCACAATCTGCAGTGCTCTGGCCTCTACAGAGGAATGATTTTGCTTTCTTCATCAGAGGATTATAGCAGACATCCAAGAATTTTTTGGCAAGTTCCTTCAAACAGTTTCTAGTTTGAGCAGTTGAAAGTCTTTTACTTACAGTATCTTCAGCTATAGCATCAAGTCGAGTGTGTCTTCTAATAGTTTTCTCATCATCAAATGATAAATCTTTGATCTTCTTTATATTCTTGTGGTAGATCAAGTCCTTTTCAGTTATCGATTTCTTACCTTGAACCACAAATGTACCACCAAAACGAGAATGCCGAGAGTTTTTCATAGTCAGTTTTTTCTGCTTTTGTAGGTCTTCCTTCATTTTTAGTTGTTCCAATTCTTTGTCAATCTTGAAACTATCAAAATTGGTATTTTGGCTAGCTAAAGTGGCTGCATCAAAATCACGGAAGATTAGTGATATTATCTCCATGGAGAGAAGGCAGTGTTGCTCCTCATCCCTGTTTCCACAGAGATAAAATAGAAGGTCTGCTACACCATACTCAACAATAGACAAAACAAGCTTGTCGTGAACTGACAGTGAATTTTGAAGTTGCTCATCCTCGTATGAATCTGCAGGAACATGAAGAATGTTCCTGATAATAATCAAAAGTCTTTCCAACATCAAATCGTCATCATCTGTTCTGTTGGCTTTTCCGAGTTCTAACAAATTACCTAACTGGCTGCTAAAAACCTTCATAGCATTGGACATAACAAACTGAGCTTTATAAGATCTCAGATAGTTGTTGACTTCTAAATGAAGTTTTTCAATAAGCTTGTCCTTTTTAGGTTTGTCTTCTTTTTCAAAACAGAGTAATACAGGCATTGTTAAGTTGACTAATAGACGCATCATGACCTCAACAATATCCTGATCCTCAAAATACGTTGTCAATATAGGTAGGAGGTCTTTCTCCATAACCATTGTTTGAGCAAGCTGACGTCTTACATCACAGGTTTTTCTATCCTCAATCCTTAGAAACTTAATGAGGTCACTGATACAAATAGCACATTCTTCTCCTTTGATATACTGTTTGCCCTCATATGAACCTAAAGCAGCTATTGTTGCAATTATGTCAGGATCAATGAATTCACTGTGAGATGATTCAAAGGGAATGTCATCAGGCTCTTCAGTTGCATCACCAGGGTCATTCAGTGCTTCTTCATAACCTTCTTCATCCATTTCGACAGATCATTAATCCTGAAACATGTCTTTGTTGAGATTCTTTTTCCAGAATAAATGTTAATGTATAAGTTATTGAGTTACATCAAAAAAGGGCATAAAAGTTGCATCCAAAAAAGGGGATTGGATGGAGAAATCACAGTATTGTAAGAGCATTATTTGGAATTAACACAACATTAACACACAAATATTTACCAATAAAATGCTGTATACAAAATTGACTTAATTAAGAATTATTTATTATCTGTTATTTCTTTTAACAGAAGGAACGGCTTCCAGGTGAATTGAGATCCATAGACTTTTAGAAGAATCCTCTACTTTCGAATCAAATTTACACAGCGATACAAAAATGTATTGAATAATTTAAAGAAGCGTCAATCTGCTCCACAAGACATTCAAATCAATCCAAAAACGCTTGATAGAATGTCCTACTCAGGACAGTAGCGTAACGAAGGGCCCCGCTGACCCCACTGTGCAGGGGGCATCATCTTAGGGGGCACAAAATCGTCGTTTGAATGTGGGACAATTTACAAAAACTTACCTGGGGACCCCAGCTCAGGCTATAATGTTCATAAACATATTTCGCCGAATCTCTAATAACAGGCTGAGCGCCACCCAGTAAAAAAAACTTAACTGAGGTACTAGCAAAACTGCGTTTTGCTCTAGAAACACACTTTTTTAGAGATTTCACCAGCATATCCTCTAAAATCACCTAATTTGTTCAATTTTAGGGAGGGGCGCTAAAAGGGGAAGGGGCGCCAACATGGGGGCTCATTTTCAGCGGAGGGGGCACCAACAGGCAACGTTACACCACTGACTCAGCTGACATAAACTCAAAACATATCTCACATACACATACAAGAATACTTGATTATAAAAGTTATAAGGGGTCGTTCACACATTACATAATCAGCCGAGGGGGAGGAGGGTTTCTAAATGATTAAGCTAGTGTTATTTTGACACAATAGCTATGTATAAAACTGAGTACGGAGGCAGAGGGGGTTAAAGATGGGCCAAAAAGTGATTACGTAATATAATGTGAACGACCCCTATAATGTATAAGTAATACGTTAATGAATATGGTAAAGTGGGTGATAACGTAAAACGGTGGATATAAAGGTAACTATTACACTGTTACGAAAATTATATAAATGCTTTCTTTGACATCTCAGATATAAACATTTATTTACAAAGTCATCATGATCAATGTTAGTCTCTAGATCCATAAGCAAATTTACTTATGATGAAGGTACACACTCATAAATAATTTTATTGTTTATACATATAGAAGTTGTTCACATATTATGTAATCACTTTTCGACGCGGTCTCTAATGTATAATATTTGGAACAAATATTTTACGAGTATTACCCGATTAAACATGCAATCAATATTTTTGTCAGAATTCGGAATTTCGAAATTAAAATTTATACTTTTTACAACATTTTTTGTAACTACCAACTTTTTATTATTTAGCTGGTTTGGATGATCAGACGTAGCTGCTTCGACGCGCCGCGCGCATTGTCGTATTTGATTTGCTTGGATATTCCATGTTTCGCGTTATTATGGAATTCGGAAATAAATAGACGCGCACAAATATGAATAGCTGCGAGCGTGGTAAGCCATTAAGATTGTAGGTTAATTTACAACCTACCGGGACGCGCGCCGAGTTGGACTCGTCGACGGTCTGTCAATATGTGGAACAGATATTTTACGAGTATCACCCGTTAACATTAATGATTAAGATTTTTAAAATTAAAGAGGGCCCTGGCCCTTGACGGATATCAACAAAAAAAGGGCCCCCGACAACTTTAAACCAACTTTATTCGTTGTATTTTCGGACGCTGATTCCGAATCACCCCCATGACATTGGGTTGAAATGCTCCCCTGACGAGAAATTGTTGTCATACGTTTTGATTGACGATGTCAATCCATCGAGAACGTTGCTCTGCGAACACAGGGGGAGCTGAAACCAGGTTTTCGATCAAACGCTGCCATGTGTAGTCAAACGTCGCCAAAAGTTGCTCTCGTCCAATGAAATCGCTGCATTATGTAAGCCAAGCTCCGCATATGAATATATGTAATTCAATTATGCATACTAACTTGCAAAATGTAGCGATTTCATTGGACGAGAGCAACTGTTGGCGACGTTTGACTACAAATGGCAGCATTTGATCGAAAACCTGGTTTCAGACCCCCCTGTGCGAAGCAGAGCAACGATCGACGAGCTTCTATTTCGTTGTAGCGCGATGCACTACTGGGTCGCGCGCGCGCATCCAATAATGCTTCTCGCAACCACATGCAGATCGGTGAGATGCGAAGGATTGACATCGTGAATCAAGGCTAGGGTGGGATCAGTGCAGAATAGAGCCAGAGAGCCTAGAGGGTTAAAGTTTCGAATAGTCGTTCAGGACCAGCTAGAGAACGGCCGGTTGAAAAAGTTACGTGACTGTCGAGTGTTAATGTAGAGTGATTAATTTATAATCATCATCCGCGAAGGTCTACGTCTAGCTAGGTACCTGTTGATCAGAAGGCCAGGATGGTTTATATTAGGGGTCGTTTATGCATAATATTGACCATTGTTAATGATCTGGCCCGGCGCGCGCTAACATTTCGAGAAGAAAGCGGCGCGCGCTACTTCGAAGAAATTTAGACGAGTAACATCCGTCAATTTGGTCACGTGACAGGCTAGTAAAACGTGAATTCGATTATTTAGGGCTCGGGTTAGGGTTGTGGTTAAGATTATGGATAGCTTCGGGGTTATGGTTAGGGTTGGGATTAGGGTTTATGTAAAACCGTTTTGTACGGCTGCAAAACCAAAAAAACCAAAGTCACGTGAAATTTTTGGGCGAGCGATTTAGTAAGAGTCTTTACAGATAGCTCATAGCTATTGCATCAAAATGACACTATATGAACAACAAACAAGTGTAATCATTTGTGATTTGGAAACCTCCCTCCCCTCGGCTGGTTACGTAATAATATTAATAATATGTCATGTGAATGACCCTTAAGAGGGACAGGGGTGGAGATAGTTGGGGACATGGCAATGTGATGATATCATGTTGATTGACGCGCGCTGTCATGAATCCTTCACAGCTCGGTGCGGCCCAGTTGTCAGTGGTGCATCGCCAACCCCAGTTCAGTTATAGGTTTATAACCTACCAAGACGCGCGCCGAGTTGGACTCGACGATGGTCTGATATTTGAAACAAATATTTTACGAGTTAACAACTCCAGTAAATGGTTTAAATGACCCTCACATTGACAATATACAAAGATATTTGTAGTACGCAAAAAGATTCGGTTTAACAAATTCATACAATAATTTGTAAGAATTGAAATGGTAAAGAACAGTTCTCTCATCATTGACTGACAGACTTGCTATTTTGGGTAGACAAAAAAAGTCACATCTCTAAGCATATCAAATTCAAAGAGGCCATTTTAACCTTGTACACCTATTAACTATCCACTAAATTGGAACATAAAACTTCTTCATCAAGATTCTATATATTTACAATAATATGGCTTAGAAAATTGTGCATTGCTCTCTGAGATTGAAGGCAATTTTGTATTTATATGTACTATGCATCAATATTACAATGATTAGATATATATATATATATATATATATATATATATATACAGATCAGGGCTAACATATTGACTCTAATAAATTCATAATTTTGCAGAATAAATACCACGGCCGACGATTCAATAGATCCTAATCTCGAATCCTTAACAACTACTAGTAAAATCAGAAAATTAAATTTGTATTTTAACTCTAAATTTTCATTTCTCATAGCGTAATGCTAACCTCTATTTAAATTCAATAAATCTATGTACTATGCATAAACATAACAATAGATCAATAGTTATAAAATTTAACCCGAATAGAATAAACTAATCCACAGTTAAACAAAATATTATACAATTATTTTCGTATAAAATCTAGTTTAATAAGGAACACATGACGAAAGTAATACAAAGCCGGAAAAAGGGGCGGATCGATACAAAAGGCTGAGAAATCCCAGGAGGAGGACATTAAGCTCACAAACCGGCGTCAAACTCAAATTAGAGCTTTGATAAAAACACTGCAGAGAGTCAAACGACAAACAGTTCCACACCAAGTGTCCCAACTTTTGGGTTGACAAAAGTCGAAGAATCAGGTTTCACATTCACTCTCAGAATGGCAAAACTTTTAGTATTAGGAGAGAGGATAAGATAGGAAAAAGTTCAGGCAAAAGGGTTGGTATTGGCAGTTGTTCCCGTAGGAGGCGGACTTCTAAGCTCATTGAGCGACAAGTTGGGCGAGTTGTTCACGTTTGCTAGGAAGGGGTTGGTACTCTCTCCACTGAACACAGATCCAGGTGACGGTCGAGGAGTCCCGAACGGGTTGGTTTGTCCACTGCGGGATACCCAGATAAGTCAGATCTCTTAGAATCTCGAACAATTAATTTGAAATGGATTACGATAATTAACATTTCATTCAAAAGTCAATCAATAAAACAGTAGTATTACCTATTAGGTGTTTGCGTCGAGATGAGGTTATCAATATTAACGAGATGTTTGGTTCGATTGTCTAGTATAGTGCCCATCTTGGAACTGGGCTGCAAAGTTGTTGAGCTACTCATTGGAACGTGGGGTGGGATCTGAAGATTGTTTGAAAAGTCAAGATTTGGGAGATCTGTAAATCTTTAAAATAAATAATTTGGGTAAAAATAATAAGAAAAGGTTCTTTTAACCATTTATAGTTAATCTCACCTGAGGGGTAGACATGGGAGGAGTGGAGGACAACATACTGGATCCGAAAGGATCAAGGTCGCCCAGCAAGTTAGTGGTGGCAGGTTGCATGGTAGAAGAATGGGGTTGGAGTATGCCACTACTAGTCGGCTGCAGAGTGTTGAAATTGCTTACTGCTACCGGTCCGCCCCAGGGGTCTATAAGGTGAGACGGCGAAGGCTCAGGAGCCTTGACGGAAGTGTTTATTATCGCATAGTTACTTGGCTGAGAAAATTGAGCGTCCAGCGAAGTGTCGAGCAATGATTGCCCACTAGATTGAGGTGCTGGAGCCCAAGGATCGTTAGCAGGAAGGGATGAAGCCTGTATTTGAGGGGAGGATTCTCCTGTTGGAGAACCAGGCATCAGTGGCAAACCCCAGGGGTCGAGAGGGGTAGAGGGGGGTCTTGGGGGCGGTTGTTTGGAGATTGAGAGGAGTGTTTGTCTCGGGGGTTCAGGACTGGCAGCAGCTGCTGTGTACTCTATACGTGTCTCTGTCTTACTGCGTTCTAAAGTAGCTTTCAAAGCATCATCCGCTTCCTTATCCCTGGACAATATAATTTATTACACACAAAAAAGTGAACAAAGCCTACTTTGCAATACTGGAGAACAGGGTCAATAATAACGTTTAGATTTAAAAACGAGCTTGCTTACTTCTCCGCTTCCTCCTTTGAAATGGCCAGGGCCAGTTCAAGCTGCAAGTCTTCTTCGTCCCTGTCACTTGGCCTGGCCTGCTCTAATGCGGAGCTGATCGAGGGATCAGTTACAGCTGCAGCTCCAGCTGGTGGAGGGTTGGAGGATCGAGAGCTGTCGCCTCCTCCACGACTCATAAACCTGCAAATTTAATAATCACCATCAGGATCATAATTTATACGTTAGGTAGTCCTAACTGAGCAATGGAAACATCGGGAAGTAATGAGCTCACTGGGCAGATTCACATCCAGGGAATAGAAAACTTACCCTCCCAAAGTGCCTGAAGTTTTAGGAATCTTGCTGTTAGTTGACCCGATTCCCGTACTGTTTTGAGCGAATCTTTCCTTTGCTTGTAAGGCCTTCTTCCTCTCTGATTTGAGCCTGTCATCGTCCTTAAGAAGAGTTACAAGCTGTCTCGCTTTCTCACGCACTGAAAAATGTTGTCATAAATATCACATACCACTACTACTACACTCTGCTAGTAGAGTAATTACTGTGAAACTATACGTTGTATAGTTTACACATCGCCCAAACATCAAGCTTGTGAGGTTACCGGGATATATTTAAAACTAATACACTTCTGTAAGAAATGATGGATCAATCCACCAAATGATAGATCTCAGTCGATGCTGCAGGCAGCTGCATGCACTGCAGAAGTTGCATGAGTATATCCAATTTGATCGATCGAAATATATGATAAATTAAATTATTGTGGCGACTAACAGTTGAGTAGTTTTTACCGATAGCGGGAAAATTTCTATAAAGGACACCGATGTTACTGTATTGAATTGACGCGCGCATATATATGCGCGTTCAGGGCAATAGTCTCGCGGTTGTCGCACTTGTGTGGCAAGGAGATAATTGTATTATTCGGTCAATTATTTTGACATTAGTCATACCACCGCCTTGATCCAGAAAGTTACTTTTAGCAACCGGTGTGAATTTGACACACAGCAATAAGTGAACTCAGATTAACTTAATTCACAATCAGTTCGATGCCACAAACCGACCAAGAACCATCTTTTCACCTCTTTTATTGGAAATTGTAAGCTCTTCAGTTCCAAAGAATCCTTTACATGTTAAATAACATAAACTGAACCGAGCTTATTGCTTCACATAATAGAAATAACGTCAATACTTTTAAGTGACAACTTTATTAGTAATTGTAATTGATAGTGAAGGCAGACAGAGGGTGGCAAGGAGAGTAAAAGTGGTAAAACTACAAGTTGCTGTCACTTAAAAATGCCCTCATAAAAAAGCGCTCATAATTACTGTAAGCGCTGAGTTACCTGCCAGAATCATTAATCACTGATGGTAAAATTTTGCACAAAATTTTAAAAACAATAGTCCAAGCTGTTCAGTGCAAGTCTAAACTTCTTAACCTATAGGATCGATATTATGGATGTGTAACATCATGTGTAGCGTGAAGCGTCGTGTTTTTAAATCTGTAGTTCATAGTACTTCATGATCACAGTGTACTTTTTGATAACAGTGTGCAGTGCCCTTTCCAGAGGGTTTGTTTTTAAAAGAATTCTTTAACATTACTATTTTCTATCTATTACTGTTTGTATTATAATTTTGAGTAAACATTAATCGAGTAAACCGCTCGATTCCCAATCAAAATCCCTAATTAATTGTAATAATTGGTTGCGAGTGATGCATCGTTAGTAGTCGAGTTCTATATGTATATATAAGAACCGAGGGAGGTGGTTACCCGTTTTGTCTTATTCATTTCGAAAGAAGGGTGCCGCGTTTCCGCAGCACCCGCTACCACAAATTATATGCCCAGAGTAGGACGATTTGTCCTAACTGCAGATTTCATCTAACCGCTGTGCAATGGAAAGACTCCGCCCGGAGGAAAACCCAAGAAGATCGGTTTTAACCTCGACATCAGGTAAGTATGATTATAAGAGTGCGATGTGGTGGTATATATTCGATTCAAAATATTTCCTTGTGTTTGAAGTTTTGTATCTATATGGCCATGTTTTTTCGCCGTAAAACCGCTAAACCGTTCTCACAGGAAATGAGAAGTTATGTTAACATTTGACTGATCACACGGTTACATTTTTTTAAATCACGTTTTCCCCATGCGTGCATCATGACGATTACGTTTCATTAGAAACAAGGTCATATGAGTCAATAACGTGGTGACTTGTTGTACGAACTTGGCTTCACTTCACATGTTTATATCCAATATTGTACATTGTACAATGTACGAATATAACAACTGGTTTAAACCCCTTATACGGAGCAGGACTGTCAAAGTGTACATTATTAACATGTTAAGTAGTACTAACGTCCCCCAGAAATATGGCTTGTAGGGTGTTTTCTAGTTTCTGCAACATTCTTTCAGACATATCACAAGTGCTCTTTAAAATTTAAAATCTTAATCGTCTTACTAATCCACAGCGCGATCATTAAATACTTGGACTAGAGTCAATAAAGAAGGTTCTAGTTTAAGGGGGCAGGGGGTCTTTATGAAATTTCTCTCGAAATTGATTTTATAGTTGTTTATGATAAAGGGGAGTGATATCTATCTGCTGCTTTTGGTCCCATGGAAAAAATATTGTTCCTAGCCGAAGTTATTGCCGGTCAAAGGTCAGCACTCATGTGTAATTGTATTGCACGAGCGATTTTCAATCGCGCGCCCTGAAAATCGAGTCTAAAAATCTATCTTCTCCTACATTTTTTGAGCAATCACCTTGAAACTTTCAGGATATATGTTTCAATAATATGTTCTAAGGACCATTTAAAAGATTCCACTCTATCAGAATTTTAAGATAGGCCTTAGAATTTTTTAAATTCCATTCGAAGTTTTAGCTGTTTTTAAGGCTTTGCCCATCTTTGCTCATTTGACGAAAAGTTGGGGAATAAATTTTCACGGGGTTGCCCCCTCCTCCATATTTCCCTTTCGTAAGCGTCAATTATCTTCGAACATGTAAATTTTTTGAATTAATTAAGAGACAACTCCATAATATCGTAGCCTAGGGATGCTATTATTATATACGCTAATCTAACTGCGTACAATTCGATTACACTATTAATTGCACGAGGCGCAGCCGAGTGAAAATTGATACAGTTTAATCGCACGAGGCGAAGCCGAGTTCGATCATTGCCGCTATTTCACGAGGCGCAGCTAAGTGAAATAACTGGTGTAATCGTATTATACATGCAGTCAGATAAGCGTATAACTCCACGCTTTTGGTGTTATGAACAGTGCAATTAGTTTATAATCGCACCGACTATTCGAGCTTTTCGTTTAGAATTAAGTCCTTCATATTATGGAGCCAGAGTGTGAACTATTCACACTGTTTTGAGATCAACTGAAAAAAACAGTGCGATTAGTTTATAATTAGTTTATAATCGCACTACCTGTCAACTGTCAAGTCACAAGTTTCAAAACTTACTGAAAACTGTCGCATGATTTACACCCCTAAAACAGTATTAATATTCTTGACACCAATTATGGTATCATAGTCACAACCTATAATTATATTTACGTCTTTGACATAGACAACTTCAACTTCAAGTTACAGATCAAATAAACTTAATCGTAATATTTTGTATGAGTATTACGGCATTGTCTTATCTTATCTTTAAAAATACAGAAATACTATTAGTATGTATTATCTCTTATCAATTGCTGTGAAACGCTCAGTCGTCCATTATCAGGTCGATTTGATTCTTGGGACGATATTTCCATTCAACACAACATGGCAAAAAACAATCAACTGCCATACCGGCCCTGTAACAAAAGCAAAAGCGGTTGGTCACACTAAGCCTCATGGCTCATAGGATCTCAGAGCAGTGAATACGTTGGCACGTCAAGATGATTCGTTCTTCTATTGTGACTCGCACGCGGTGGTCACGCGAACTAACATTTCAACATTTCAACGGATAACAGCCCTCGTAGCCTCAGCGTGTGGCTCTTTATTTACATTACACTATTCAGCTATATTATTAACATATTATTCAGCTATATTATTAACATATGATTACGCTAATGCAACTAATATAATGTAAATTTATGTTAGCGTATGGACAGGAAATTGCGGAACACGATATTACAGTATCTTTCAGAAAATCAGTGCGATTAGTTTTGTTATCGCACTGAATATGTTTTCGATCTTTCTCAAAACAGTGCGATAAGTTTTGCAATCGCACTCCCTGAAAAAAAAACCGGTGCGATTATGAAAAAAAAGTGGCCGTCAAATAGGTCAAAAGTGGAGTTATATCCTTAAACGATGTGGAATGTAAATACAAGATCTCATCATCATAGAGATTGGTTGATACAATTTGTTCAATGTACGAACACCGTGCACTTTAACAGCGATAAAGTAATTTTGATTACGTAATTTAAGCCCGCAAATGGGTTAAATGTGTATACATTTCTAGATTTGATTAATTAATTCATACGAAAAATAACCTTGAGTAGGGAACTGTAAAGTGTAAATCCATGTGTAAGGGTCTAAAGGAAACACAGTATCTTTCTTTGTATTATTTAGAGTCCTAAAATGAGAATAAATTATCTTTCTTACATTGGAATTTTACCATGTATCCAGGTTCAGAGCGGGGCATTGTTCAGCTAAAGAAACATAATAAGGGTAACTACTACCTGACTAGTGACTACCATGCCACTCAAAAAAGAGTCGCTCAAAGCTAAATGACATATTATAATATATATTATCATATTAGAAAAGTATTAATTGTTTGTGGTGGCCGAAATATTTTGACCACTTTTGAAATTGATTATTAGAAATCCCGAGTGAAGTATTTTACATACAACAAGGAGATTTTTACAAGAAATAATTTAATTTACCTCAAATAGTGTTGCAATTAGAAAAATCCTCGCATACTAATTACTGCAATCAAGCATTAACATATCCAACTACAGCATGTGATCGTTCCAAATGCCACCAGTTTAATGATGCTCAGTATTTTTATAGAGCTACCGAATATTATACTGATACTCAAGGACAACAGTCTGATAAAGTTAGGATACCCATGTTCTATTACCAAGTTTAGGAAATGAAGGGTGCCGCGTTTCCGCAGCACCCGCTACCACAAATTATATGCCCAGAGTAGGACGATTTGTCCTAACTGCAGATTTCATCTAACCGCTGTGCAATGGAAAGACTCCGCCCGGAGGAAAACCCAAGAAGATCGGTTTTAACCTCGACATCAGGTAAGTATGATTGTAGGCCTGCAAAGTGAGGGTATGTTTTCGGCACAAAATATTTCCTTGTGTCTGAAATGTGTTATTAAGATGACAAAATATTTTTGTGGTTCAATCACGGTAACTGTCTACACGTAAAATGGGAACTTCCTTTAAAAACCAATAGCTGATGCGTCAAATAAATTCTAATGTTTTCGACATGAATGACCATGTATTCATTATACATTATAACAAGATTACGTATTAGAATACAT